ATCCTCTTGCCAGATTCCTATATGCAGAGTCCGTGGGGTTCTTTGAGCTTGGTTGGTTTCTTGCAAATGTTTCATTACCTGGCTGGGTAACATCTTCAGTGCTAGAAGGGAGTGGGGTTTGCTCTCTGTTTATGTACAGTGGCTTGTCCTGCCAGGGTTGGAGGGGTGTTGTTTGTTCCTGGTAGTTCCTAGATTAGGCTGTTGTTTACTGCATGATTGTTTGTCTGGTGCTAATCCTGGTGTTAATCCCTGCTTACCTGGGTGTTGATTGCTGGCGAGGAAGTTTTCTGGTCTTTTTGTTTCCTTTTTATTGTCTCTTTTGAATAGCGCGTAGATGTTGTTTATCTATGTGTCTGTTCATGGCTGCCTTGTCTGAATGCCAAGCTTCCAGGAATTCCCTCGCGTTTTTGGATTTAGCTTGGTCTAAGATGCTGACAGTTTCCCAGCTGAAACTATGGCTGGGTCTGTCCATGTGTTGTGAGATTAAGGAATTTCCGTCGTGACTTCTGACTGCTAGTTGGTGGTCATGGATGCGCTCTGCAAGTCTTCTGCCTGTCTGTCCTACGTAGTGGCTGTTATAGTCCTTACACTGTATGTTGTAGAGGACTCCTGTTTTTTCTTCTTGGGCTACGGGGTCTTTTGGTTTACTTAAGATGTTTTGGAGGGCTTTAGCTGGCTTGTGTGCCATGAGGTTGTAAGAGTCCGTTGGTTGTTTCTGAGACATTTCTGATGTATGGCAGTGTTATCCTTTTCATAGCTTGTGTGGGTTGTGCTGTAGTGGGTTGAGTGGTCAGGCGCTTTTTGATAAAGATGTGTGGGTGTCCATTTTGTTGGGAGGTGTTGTATAGGCGGTCTGTTTCCTTTTTCTGCTGTTCTGGGTTGCTGCAGTGCGTTTGTGCTCATCTGAATAATGCTCTTACAGAGCTCCTCTTGGAGATTCCTACATTCCTGGTACTGTATAGTGCTTTTCTGAAATTTCTGTCTGAGGCTGCCAAGGAAGGCTTTTTCTCGTCCTGCTTTCTGCAAAAGGTACCTGGGGACAACTTGGAGCAGTTGATAGTTGAACCCTGACCCTCAGCTGAGAGAGGTTGAACCATAGGGTCCCCACATATTTTGAGGGGTCTGATTCACACCGTTGGGTTATGTCATGATTTCCTGTCTGTAGTTTATTGAATAAAGCGAAGTTCACACAATGTGGAAATCAAAACCGAGCTAATTGCATTATGGCTTGTTGTGTTTATTCATTTGAATAACATAAACTTTTTGAGGGACATTCCTTGGGGGTTTGGCAGGCCGGTACTGCTTTTTGCATGACGGTTGTTGCTATTTTATGCGGGAGGTTTTTTTGGAATTGCATGCTGCCCTGGTGGGGATATGCTTTTATTTAATTGAATTGTACACAACACTTATTTCGGGTACACTCAGAACACCTGCTGCCGTGTAATGCCTCTGTAAAACGTGAAGGCACCTCTGCCGTGAGCAAAGGGCACATGGATGTTGGCGATCGGGATTCCCGTGCTCTGCACAGTTTTCCTTTTGGAGGATCCCTTTTGGGAGCTGGCCTACATCCCATCTTCACCCCCACCTGCAGTGGAATTCAGAAGAGTTAAGAAGCTGTCCTGCTGAGTGAGACCGTTATCTGCTGACTACTGTCTTCACTCAAGGAAATGGTCCTTTCTCAGTCTTAAAACCTGAGATATTTTAAACTGAGGACTGAAGCTGTACCTGTACGCAGTACAAATCTTTCAGCTCAAAACTCCTGTGTCCCCCCCCCCTCCCCGGTTTATGCTGATGTCCATTCTTAGTTATCTTTCTAACAGTTTAATCTGGTTTACATTGTAATAATAACGTTGTACCCCCCCACCCTTTTCTTTGCCTCTCAGGGGACATTGGAAACTATTATTATGGACAAGGTCACCCCATGAAGCCTCACAGGATCAGGATGACTCACAACCTCCTTCTCAACTATGGCCTTTACAGAAAAATGGAAATCTACGTAAGTTTTTAAAACTGAACATTAAACTCTTCAGCCACCACCACCACCGACTGGATCCTGCAACTCAGGAAGAAAGGGAGCCGCTGCAAGGGAGTGCTCTCCTCTCCCAATCACCTTTGCTGGTCCAGGGGATACCCTGCTTGACGGTATCCAGGGGCATTGCAGCGTTCAGCAATACAAGAGAGTTGTGCTTCCCCTATTCCGGTCCTGTCCAAGGTAGCCAACAAGGGGGACCAGTGTGATTTTGGCCTCATTCCTAAGCCTCAATCCTGTCTGGAAGGGGCCCTGATCATCTGTTTCATTTGGGGCGTCAAGCACCTTTTCAGTAACCTCATTAAAGTTGGAGCTGTGCTTGAATGGAGGCCAGAAGTGGTGGCCTTGCTAAGTCCTCCCCCCCCCCCCCCCCCCC